GAGAGAGAGAGGGAGGGAGAGAGAGAAGGGGGGAGGGAGGGAGAGAGAAGGAGGGAGGGAGGGCGAGGGAGGGAGGGGGAGAGGGAGGGAGATTTTTTGAATACAACCAGTTGATTAGTTGAAAAAATAATTGGGTAACTAATCGATTATGAAAATAATTGTTAGCTGCAGCCCTATCTCTGAGTGATATCATAAGGGGCAGGAGAGTTGAAATGCCATGGTTGACCCAAGACTGACAATTCTGGGTGGACTGCAGCTTTAATGGCCAGTTTAATACAAAGCAATTCATATTTTTTCTTTCCCTCCAGTTATATTAAATCTCTGCCAAAATGTATGTGAATATCAGATCTATAAAGAGATATTCTTGTGTTATCTTTAGGACATCCAGCTGTTTACTGCTCATATATACAATGTTACATCAATTACATAGATCACTGGAAGCATTCTCAGCAGTACTGGAAGCTAATAAGTTCATTTATTTCAGAACACTGGAAACAGCACAACAAGGGACACTGGATGGAGAAAAACAACTTTGATTAAACACATTTATACTGGGTGACATGAGGGAAGAAAATTACAAGTCTCACCCTGTCTATTTCATTGTCATCAATCCCATTAAGGTCCAGCTCTCCGTCTTCTGCATTGTCACCTGGACAGAAAAGAAGATAAACATCCATGAGATTTTATGAGGTTTGTTTTTACGTTAATTTTGAACACATTTTATACTAACATTGAAGAGTTCCTGAAACAACAAACTCCAGGGTAATCATAGTGGGTTGAGGGGATGAAAAGGAACGCACTGGCCACATGCTCAACAAGCACCGATTGTTCAACTGACTTTTGTCAAAGCTGCTGGCTGAAAAATTGTCGGCTCAACAGTGACTGCAGCCAATCAGCTTCCGGCACCAGCTGTCAGAATACAATAGCCAGCAAGGGAGAGTCATCTATTCATGTTTTTTAGCGTGGATGGGGGAATTGAGTGATACGGTGTATGGTCAGCTTAAGACCAGCATTACACAGCAGGCACCATAAGGTGCCCCTGCAAACCTTTATTATGATACCTCAAACCCCTCAAAACACCACCGACGCTTCCAAATATAAGAACAGGCTTATCCCCTCCCAAAGGACACATTGTTACGTGAAGATACAGACAGCATAATAACCTTACAAAGGTTCTAAAACAGTGTCCACTGTCTTAAAATGATTTTGTTGCTGTATGTCGCCACTGGATTTCTAATCACTTCCTGTATTTTACTAGGGGAAATTTATGAACGGGGCAACAGAAAAGAATGAAAACGGACATTCTAAATATTCTCCATTGTATCCAAAACAATGTTTTAGCTGCAGCTGAGCTCTACGCATACATCTACAGTAGATGAAAAGTATCACCAAACATCATGTGTGGATTTCTTTTCTTACTCCTTTCCAGCAGTAGCTACAACAGCAGATGTTCCCCATTATATGCTGGTAATATCACTGACATCACATCATCTTACCAGACTCTTTTCCCATCAGGTATCGTTTCCAAAAAGCCAAGCCAGAGACGTTTTCTCACATTACAATATTTCATACGCTTTTCGGGATATTCAAACTGTTTGCATTAAAAACATACAGTCAATACTGTAGTATTCGTGGACTGTAACCCCTTAAGGTGCAAATGTACTTGTATATTTTCTATCCTTGCTGTCGGGGGAATTCTCACTTGGTTTGTTCCACAAATCTTTGTTTTGATACATCCAATTGCCTTTAAAACTTTTGATGGCAACCAAGGTAAATGTTTCAATAAAGTGGGTGAAATTATTTTTGTCAACTTTTATTGCTGTGTGTGTCCACAATCAGGAGACTTTCCCTCTACGTCCTGTTTCAGTGACACCAGGTCAAGAAACATAACAGGATACTGGTGTCACTGGGACAGGAAGAAAACCCTATTCTAGCCCCTCCCCACTCTACTAAATAAATATTCTTTTTTTAACTTTATGTATCATGATCATAAGGATATCTTATCACTTCCTAGCAAAAGAAGGATCTGATGAAGGGGGCGTGACCCCAGGAACGCGTTATCACAGCCCACCTTGCTGGCACACAGGAACGGCTGTGCAGCTGTCACTGGCTTATATTTTGGTCTATGTATTCTCATACAAAGCTCCATTCTTGTCTACCCTTGTGAGTATTATTCTCATCAATTGTTTATCATAATAAACCTGTCTGCACCAGGAAAGGCGCCCCTTGTTTGTGTTTTTTCCCCCAGAATTTGCAGTCCCCCTGGCTGGTTTGGGGCAGCGTCCTGCAGAACTTCCATCACATCCTCCTTATTTTTCAAATAGACTTTGATCCTATTTGTCCTTTTTCCTCTGGTGGAGCGGTCCCATTTGGCGCTTTTTGTCTATATTTGTACTTCCTAGCAGAAGTTCTAACCCATCTACCCAAAACACACCTAAAAGTAGGGGAGGAGCCACGGTTATTTAAAAAAAAAAACTGCCTGTATTTTTAAAAATCATTTTATTGTTATTAAAGTCAAAAGGGTTTTACGCTATTTCAGATGCTGAATAAATCACATACAATGGATGCTGCTCCTTTATGTTTAAAAGATTTAGTTTCCTGCAGAATCAGCTAGTCCCCTGAGCACTGGTCTTGATATCCTGTTTTAGGGTGGCTCCCTTGCAGGGTCCTATGGAGCCACTCTTGTGTGTGTTAGTCAGCTGTGTGCGTCTCAACAGGCACAGCAAGGTAAGCCAATCCCCTCCTTCCCTCCCTCTTCTCTAACATAGTAGATAGTCATCTGCTGGAGTCTGTTTTCTCCCTTGTACTGGACAGGAAGTTGCTGAGAGAGTTGGAGCTGTTTGGAAACATGACGACTGTAAGTGATTGGACAAAAATGAGAAATATTTTGTTGGGCAATGTATGTTTGTTTGATCTGGATTTATTACTGAAAAAGGTTTGAAACTTGAATATTACTTTAAGGGCTCTAGTCACGTAGTCTCAGCATTCACAAGGGCATGCGATAATTTGTTTTATTATTTTAAGTAAGGAGTAGAAACATCCAAATTCAGAGGTATGTAGAAACATGGGAACCTTGACAATGAGATTTCTCGGTTGCTGCCCCCAACAGATATCACTAATGGATGAACCAGTCCTCCAAAAGCCTAATAATATTCAAAACATAAAAAGCTACTTTTCCCTTTAAAGTGTATTTCCACTTTTGAAGTCAGTTTTTTGAGAAAAACCTGCTATATTTTTGTTGTGTGTTCCCACTGACACTGCAGACCCAAAAATCATTTTGTATAAGATATTTCTTACCGTTCAGATGTTTCTTTGGAGCAGGCCTTTGTGCAGACTGCAAGCGATTCTGAACAATGTGAATGGGAGTCTGTTCCCATAGAAATTCTAGGGACACACTGAGTTTTCTCTCATTAAAATACAATGCTTCTAGGTCTTTTAACCATTTGGTAGGACAAGTCAACCGATAAAGAGTTCTGTCAGCAAAGTACAGATAGATAAAAATGAACTCCACGGCCCCCTTCTTAACATTACATGGGGGGAACTACTGTATGTAGGATTTCTAAGCAAGTAAAAACACTTACAAATAAAATCAGTAATTTTTAAACATTTTTTTAAAGTTATGCTACATGAATGGGAAGATGTAACAAATCTGCAACCCTCAAGTATGGTTCACTTTGCTGCCACAGGGGGAAACAAATCTGGGATCCCATAAGGCAATCTGATATTCCCTGCTACATGAATGGGAAGATGTAACAAATCTACAACCCTCAAGCATGGTTCACTTTGCTGCCACAGGGGGACACAAATCTGGGATCCCTTAAGGCAGGGGTGCCCACAAGGTCGATTGCGATCTACCAGTCGATCACGTAGCGATCTTGCAACGTCGGCCACATGAGCACCACGGGAGGACAGGACGCCAGGACCTGTAATGTACTGGAATGTAAGCAAGGCCGACTCCCTGCTTTGCGGTGCGGGAGGGGGTGTGGAGCTGTATTGAAGTCAATGGCATCGCCCACAGTGCGATCGCCCGCACTCGGAACGCAGGCACATTAGTGCCTGCATTCCGTGCAGTGCGATCTGCAAAAATAGTCCTTGCAGCATTTTTGCGGATCGCAATGGACTGGAACACAGGCACTAATGCAGGCGATCGCACTGTGGGCGAGGGGCCTGCCTGCGCAACCTACGCCCCCTCCCGCCTCTGAATGCAGGTTTTTTTTCGTTTGTAGATCTCAATGAGTCGTCATTTGAAATGTAGATCTCCAGACGAAAAATAGTGGGCGCCCCTGCCTTAAGGCAATCTGATATCCCCTGGATCATCAATCTCTGTTGTTTCTTTTATTATAAAGTTGTATACTGCATTTCAAAAACCAAATAAAAATATCTTTAAAAAAGATGTAACAAACGAAGTAGGGGTTATTCCAATTTGGCTGTAAAAGTGGAAGTACACTTTTAACTTATTTATGGTGCTGATAGATTCTTAAAGGATAATTAACCCTCCCATTATTTTTTTTGGCATATATCTACTGCCAGCAAACATCTGTGTCTCCGCCGCATGCTCCAATCTGAAGATCCTCGGGCGGCCGCAAAGTATCATGGGGCGGGCACATGCGCAGTAGAGATCTCCGGCCGGAAGAGGAGGAGAGACACAAAATAAGTAAATGCAGCAGCGTGCACGTGCACAGGCTCCGTGTGACAGGAAGTGCCAGCTAAGAGGGAGGAATCAGCGCTGGATGAGAGAGCGTCACCAGCGCTGCAGGGACTGAAACTACAGGAAAGAAGAAGATGATCGGATTAAGAGGCATCATTTAAGGTAAGCTCCTTACACTACCCTGTTTCCCCTAAAATAAGACCTAACCCGAAAGGAAGACCTAGTTTGGTGGTAGCATGTGAGGGCAAACTTGAAGAGCAGGAGTTATGGTATCAGCCTGCAGGGACATACTGTATTAAGGGGATGACAGGGGACTACCTCCGGCCAGCGCAGTGACAGGGAGCCTCCAGTACCATACTTCACCAACTCCTGTCCCCGAAGGCACTGCTTAATGTAATGGTACTGTAATGTGTACCGGTAAATGGTACTGTACTTTACCGCGCTGTCCAATGTCTGATGTCCCCACTGCTGCACCGCTGGTACCACTGCCCCTGATGGCAAAGGAAGCCGCCGCTTTGCCCCTGATGGCAAAGGAAGCCGTATTAGCTGATACTTCCTCTATAGCGCCGGTTACTGTGGCAGGCGGAGTGATACCAGATAACTTTGGATTGTTGTACATGAATAACTTTAGATTGTTGTACATTTTGTTGCAGATTAAAAAAATTTAAATAAGACATCCCCTGAAAATAAGACCTAGTGTGTTTTTTTGTGGCAAAAAAAATTTAAGACAGTGTCTTATTTTCGGGGAAACACGGTAGCATGGGGGGGGTGGGACTTGGGGGTTTAATGTCACTTTAATGACTCTTATTAAAAAAAACTTGCTAATAAAAAAAAAACTTGTCATGTGAGAATGAACTGTATAACATTCTCCAAAACACCCCCCTCACCCCCCAAAAAAATGTGTTCATAGAGTTTCTAAACTGAAGCAGAAAATGCATAACATTTATTACAAAGACAGCTGTGATTGTGTCTGATCTGTAAGATCCGAATGATATTCAGCC